TAGCTAAGCTAATTTTGTTAGTTAGCAAGTTAGCAGTTAGCAAAGCTAACTTTTTGGTTAGCTGTGCCCACCACTGTCCCTCAGCTTTATTATTGCAAACAGTGGCTATGGATACCAGTTCCAAAGCAAAACGATCATCAGTCGCCTCCTCAGCATGGATGACATCAAGCTGTTTGCCAAAATGAGTGAGGCTTCGAGCCATTCAGAATGAATAAATGTGGTTTAATAGAGGCAAGATTATCACACCTGAAGGGGTTGGACTACCTGAAGGCAACATTACAGATGGGACAGCTACAAATACCTTGGAATCCCACAGGCAAACAACAATCATGATGAGGGAGCAAGAAAGTCAGCCACAATCAAGTACATACAGAGAGTAAGGTGGGTCGTGAAGAGTCAGCTGAACATGAGGAACAAAGTCTGAGTCATCAACAATGCAGTGCCAGTCATCAGATACCCAGCTGGTACAGTAGCCGGGCCAAAGGAGGAGAAAGAAGCCACTGACATCATGACTCGAAAGCTCCTCACAATGCATGGAGGGTGTCAGTCCAAGTCCAGCACCCTGAGACTGTGGACTAAAAAGGGGTTCAGTCCCAACCGGCTGTCAATCCCAGTGTAACCAGACACTTTCCTTCAGACCTAAAACTAAACTTCTGGAAAAAGAGTTGTTTTGAAAAAGAAGCAGAACATTCAGAGCTACATGAGGCCACACTTGAACAAATGATCTGAGGTGTATGTTTATTTTTAGTCCGAAAAGGCCCCATTGGTTAACATGGAGAGGGCGGAGCTTATAATTTATACTAGAGCCAGCCACCGGGGGCACCCTCACTTTGGCTTCAGCTTCCTGTCCTGTCTCTATAGTTTATATTAAAGAGTAGGAGCCTTTTTCTAGTTGCAGAGGTCAGCTGGAGGCCATCTTGAATTGGATTGACTCCAACAGTTTATCTGCTGTAGACATGTAGTGATGACTTTGAGATTCTGTTCAACTTCTGCGCAGTGGGACATGAGATATTTTGCTAACACAGAGTCAAAACATTATCACCCACCTCCTGCCTTGAGCGGCGGGTGATAATGATGTGAAGCAGCCGACATAAATCGGTTTGGTGGTTCGTCTCAAAGACAAGGAAAAGTTTGAACATTTTGCCCTTCAGGGTTCTGGCGCCGGTAACGGATCAGCTGCTCGAATTTTACTGATTCCAACACCGAACTTTGACCTGAAACAGAAGAACCAGAACCGCTGGGTTCTTCTCATCAGTTGAGGCGGTTCCTTGTGTATAAAAATACACATCAAGTCAAATTGATGGAACCAGTTCTGAACCTGAGAACTAGACCCAAATCCTCCAGAACCTTATGTTTTCAGATGAGTGGACCCAGCACCAACAGAACCAGCTTCCTGTGTGAGCTCCAGGCACAGGAAGGCCGACAATCAGGTGGAAACAGAACTTGTTCTTTAAGGTTCTGGTTCTGTTCCACCTCTTCCGTCGCTGACAGGAAGTGTTCAGGTTCGTTAAAGTTCTGTGATCCTGTTTGTTGGTTTCAGACTTGGTTCTGCTGCTGTCGGTCCTGTCCTGCACCAGCACACGGACCCATTCAGAGTTTGGACCCAGTTTCTGGGTCAAAATCAGAGAAAACAAAGTTCTGTGACAAAGACAAGTTAGTGGAGAAACAAAAGACAGATTTAAGAAATTATATATATTTTTTTAAAACTGAAAGAAATATGTGGGAGGAAGAGTTCTGTAGAACCGAGGAGGAGGACCAGAACCAGCCTTCAGCCGTCCTGAACCCTGAGGACCCGGGACCAGCACAGCTCAAACTAAACTTTTATTAAACTTTTAGTTTTGACTCCGAACAGAAAATAAAATATTTAAATCACTAATTTAACTCAAGTCTTTATTAGTTTTATATCATTTTCAGTGAAGCAACAATAAAGTTGTTTTTTTTAAACTTCTTTATTTATGTTTCTTGGTTTTATTCATCGTTCATGTTGAATATTTGTGCAGCTCCAGAACATCTGGTGTTCCCTTCGAGTTACAGCCTCCATCACTTATTCCTTCTAGAACCTGCAGATGTTTTACGGGTTCTATCAGCGGTTCTTGTTGGTTCGTTGTCTGCAGTCAAACGCTCGGCCGTGTCTTCATAAATAAATTCTGACTGGACTCCAGACGACAGAAAGAGTCAAACGATCCAAAGGTTCTGACCTCTCAGGTACCCTGGAGACCCGGTTCTGTTGGTTTGTTTCAACATCTGGGGAGCAGCTGATCCACCGCAGATGTTTCAAACACAGGAAGTGACATCAGCCCCCATCCAGAGTTCCGAGGGGAACAGAACAGAACGTGTTCTGACGGCTGGCCCAGTTTCAGGCGGGTTCAGTTTTTGTTTTTATGTAAACCGAACTGTTGGACCCGAGAGCAGCAGGGCTGATGTGAAAGCTTCTGGGCTGGGCCCAGATCAGACGACAGAACCGCTCCTGGTGTTGCTTCAGAGCTGGGACCCCTGCTGATCCTGTTCCCAGGTACTGATGGGAGCCAGCCTCAGTTTGGGTCTCGAACGTGTCTCAGGTTCAGAAACAAAACCGCACGGGTGGACCTGACACACCTGGGCTGGGACCGGACCAGGTTTTCAGTCCCAGGAAACTAAAACTTTGTCCGGGGGAAGAGAGAAACTTGAAACATGAAATTGTGGAGTGGGACATGTTGACGTTTATTTACTCTAGAGTTTCTGTTGCCATGGTAACGCCGAACAGCACTAAAGGAACAGCAGCCATCGTTTTCTGTGTGCTCGCTTCTGTTTGAGCTGCATTGAAGCGACAAAGACCCATTCAGAGACAAGGAGCGAAGTGTGCCCCCACTGAAGTGCACGGTGCACGTGTACAGCAGGCATCAGTAAAGTATGAGCCACCCGTCGATTACACTCGTCGGGTTAAGACATTTACTTAATTTGTTTATTTATTGTAAATAAGTTGGAGCCTCACGTCACCAAGTATTCATTCATTCATTCATTCAACCTTTATTTATCAAAGCTAGTCTCATTGAGCCACAGGGATTCATTTGCAAGAGGGACCTGTTCCAGACAGAACAAAGTACAGACAACATTAACAGTAAACAATGACAACAATAAACTACAGTAAAAATGCAGTTAAAATAAGAATAGTGTACAAAACAATAAATCAAGGTGCCGTAAAGCAGCGTGAAATACTAAAAACAAGAACATTTTTGCAACGTTCGCTTTGAACGTTGTGTCAAAGTGTGCGTAAATGTATGTTTCTGATCTGCCGTGAAAATGTACCACCTCCACATAAACTCTTTCAGTCCACAGTATAACTACAGTACAACGCAAGCCATGAAGTTCCTTACATTTTTAGTCACGTGTGGATGTAAACACGCCTGCAAGGAGCAACAACAGCTGAGCAGTATCAGGCGTGTGTGGCACTGCCACTCTCACTGAGAGGAAACGGGCGTCGGATCAGCAGATTACCTCAGAACAACTCGTGATGACTCCTCTAGTCGACAAGGTGCGGACAACAAGATGAATGTAAATATCTGAGTAAAGTTGCAGAACACCGGCAGCTCTGGCCCAAAGGGAAATTAAATGTTGTAGCTCATCATCCTGGTTTCATTAAGAGTTGTTATAGATGTTGTGGGCAGGAAGGATCTCCTGCAGCAGTCCGTCTTATAGCGGATCTGAAGAAACTGGCTGCAGATGCCGATCCGTCCACCCGGACCCAGCGGGCCTCTCGATCCTCCAGGACCATATGAATGTTGGGCAGAACTCCTCCCTGAGCGATGGCCACTCCTCTCAGCAGCTTGTTGAGCTCCTCATCATTGCAGACAGACAGCTGCAGGTGTCAAGGGATGATCATGGTCTTCTTCTTGTCATGAGCCATGTTTCCTGCCAGCTCCAGAATCTCAGCAGTCATTCACTCGAGCACCTCTGCCAGGTAGACGGAGATGCATCCACGGCGCCTCCTTTACAACTCATTTGGGGCTGTATTTGAGGTATTATTTGAGCTTTGAGATGTTAATCAGCTGCTCCCGGTTGTTAAAAAAAAAAAACACCTTGTTGTCATGGTTACGCTTCATAACAAATGTCCAAAAGCAAAAATGTTTTCAGTAATAATCCTTCCAGCAGCACAGCATATGATACCAGAGGAAGTGATCATAAAAAATGCCATTTACATCCAGAAAAAAAAGAAATAAAGTTTTCAAAATCAATATCTCAGAATGAAAGTAACAGCTACTCCAACATGCAGCCACTTTGAGCGGTGCAGTTCTAGAACTCAATTCCTTTGGACCTCTGCGCTGAACTGGCCCCAGCAAACAGAGCGAAACAACTATCAGATCATTTC